GGGGGAAAAAGCTGTTAGCTACAGAATAGTCCATTCCATCTACTTATTAAAATCCTCCTTTGCTGAGGTCACTTATTTATATGGGACACAGGTATCTTCAATTTTTTGCCCTGATTCAGAGGTCTATCCACCTATCTCTTCCCAGATTTTATTGCTCAAATTTCCAATCATGTTCCTTGCACTATAATACCATACACTACCTCCATTCCCACCCTTGTTCCCGGATTTGTCTGGATAAGTTAGGAAACTCAAGTAGTTCTTTTGGACTACAGCACTCCTCCTCATGGGTCACACTTCACACAGCACTTCTAGGAGCCTGCTGGGACTTGAATCTGGTGATTAGTCTGCAAAGAAAAGGGGATGGTTGTGGGGGCTTCTATTGCCTTGCATGGCCACTGTCTCAAAGGGAGGTCATTACAGTTTCTTCAGGCAATGAATAGTTAATTCCATAAGATGGGAATGTAAAGACTGATGCCACTGTGGGTGGGGATTCCACTGTCACCAGGAATGGAAAGGCCATGTCTGCTGATGAGGCTGCTTCCACTGGTAAAGAAGACTCAGAATTTAGGAGCTCGATGTCCCAGCTACATCAGAGCCTTCCCACTTGTCCCCATGCCATCTTATAGGATTCCATTCTTTCCCAATCAATGCCCTCACTTTAATAGCATTTTAACACCACTTAACTATTCAGTTAAGAATTTTCCAAGTATCTGTTCTTTCTTCTTGCATTTTAATCAGCCAGGGAGCCAATGAGCCAAGCCACACCTTCATTTTCATTACTCTGTTCTACTTCCCACAAAACATTAGACAGAACATAATTTTGCCAAGTTCTTTGTCACTTCATAAAAAGAAATGCCTTTCCTCAGTTTCCAGTAACATGTTCCTCACTTCCATCCAAAACCTGCTTAGTCCTTGCCTTTACCATCCGTATTTCTACCAACATTCTGTCAATAATGTATTCTCTAAGATTGAAGTTTTCTTTTCAGCTCTTTCTCTTTTCTGAGTATCACCAAAATCAGCACTTATGTCCTTATTTTTTGCATGCATCTAAAAACTCTCCCAGCCCTTACCTATTATTCAGTTCCAAAGCCACTTCCACATTTCTAGATATTTGTTACATTAACACCCCACTTCAGGTACCAATTTCCATCTTACTGATTTGGGCTGCAGTACAATGGACTGGGTGGCTTATAAACAAATTTCTCCCAATCCTCAAGGCTGGAAGTCTGACACCAGTGTGCCAGCATGGTTGGTTTCTGGTGAGAATCCTCTTCCAAAATAAAGACTGCCATTTTCGGGGCACCTGGGTGGCTCAGCGGGTTAAGCCTCTGCCTTCGGTTCGGGTCGTGGTCTTGGAGTCCTGGGATCGAGCCCCACATCAAGCCCCACATTGAGCCCCACATCGGGCTCTCTGCTCAGTGGGGAGCCTGCTTCCCCCTCCCTCTGCCTGCCTCTCTGCCTACTTGTGATCTCTTTCTGTCAAATAAATAAATAAAATCTTTTTTTTTAAGATTTTATTTATTAGTCAGAGAGAGAGAGCGAGCGAGCACAGGCAGACAGCGTGGCAGGCAGAGGCAGAGGGCGAAGCAGGCTCCCTGCCGAGCAAGGAGCCCAATGCGGGACTCGATCCCAGGTCGCCGGGACCATGACCTGAGCCAAAGGCAGCCACCCAACCAACCGAGCCACCCAGGCGTCCCAATAAATAGAATCTTAAAAAAAAAAAAAAAAGATTGCCATTTTCTTGTATCCTCACATAACAGAAAAGTGTGAGAGAGCTCTCTGGGATCCCTTTGATAAGGGGACTGATCTCAATCAGGAGGGATCCACCATCATCACTTAATTACCTCCAAAAGGCTCCACTTCCTGTCAGCACATTGGGGGTTAGGATGTCAACATGAATTTTGAGCAGACACATTCAGTCCATTTCAAAGCCCAAATGGTTTCACTGGGAAATTCTACCAAACATTTAAATAATAATTAATGATTCTACACTACCTCTTCCAGAAATTGAAAGGAGGCAATACTTCGAAACCCATTTTTGAGGCCACCATCACCATGTTAGCAAAATGAGGGACAGCTGAATAAAAGAAAACTACAGATCAGTATACCAGTATTCCTCATGAACAGTGATACAAAAATCCTCAAAAAAAAAAAAAAAAATCCTCAGCAAAATATTAGCACATCATAGCAATCACAGTAAATCCAGCAATATATTTATGTACTACTATGAAGTATGCACTACAAACAAATGGAATTTATTCCAGTGATGTAAGGCTTAGCCAATGTATGGAAATTCATGAAGATAATCCATCATAACACAGGAAAAGAGAAAAATCACATTTTACTCATTATATCAACTGGTGAATATTTCAAGTAGAATTTCAGGGAAATACAGAGGGTTCCATAGCAGTGTTTCCAGATAACAAAGGGTTTTCAAAGTTCTAATTGGGACTGAGAGGAGAAAAAAAAAATCAAGTATATGGTGCTGTCCTAAAAATGCAGCCTCAGAATAAGGATGAACCTAACTTAGCCTTTCTATGAAATAGCAGGGCTTCTAAGAATTTCAAAGTCGGGGCGCCTGGGTGGCTCAGTGGGTTAAGCCGCTGCCTTCGGCTCAGGTCATGATCTCAGGGTCCTGGGATCGAGTCCCACATCGGGTTCTCTGCTCGGCAGGGAACCTGCTTCTCTCTCTCTCTCTCTCGCTCTCTGCCTGCCTCTCCGTCTACTTGTGATCTCTCTCTCTGTCAAATAAATAAATAAATAAAATCTTTAAAAAAAAAAAAAAAAAGAATTTCAAAGTCATTTTTCCACAGCGGCCTCATAGGGAGCCCAACACAAAGAAGAGTCTGTTGATCTTTTGTCTGAGTGAACCCTAATAAAATCCATTTAAAATACAGTTGTTAAGAAAACTAGCTTGAACTTAATGGGACAGAAACAATACAAAGTGAAAGGGGCTTGGGATCCCAAAACATCTCCGGGCTAAAAACAGTCTGAGAAATCTACTCAGCTATAAACACGGGCTACCTTTCATGAAGGGGGCTGGGGTGCGGGGGTGGGGAGGGTGTGTAGAGCGTGACTCGGGGTAGAACCAAGACCTCAGGATGCAAACATGCTACTTAGGAGCAGAAAGATACTTAAATTGGGTTCTGTATTATGTAATAATGCAACCCACTGGATATCACAACAGAGAAATTCTGCGAGAAACAAAATAAATTACATTCTTTTTAAAAAACTAAATCTTCAGGGGTGCCTGGGTGGCTCAGTGGGTTACAGCCTCTGCCTTCAGCCCGGGTCATGATCCCAGGGTCCTGGGATTGAGCCCCGCATCGGGCTCTCTGCCTGCCTCTCTGCTTACTTGTGATCTCTGTCAAATAAATAAAATGTTAAAAAGAAAAAAACAAAAAAACCCTAAATCTTCAAAACCTCATGTGTATTTTACACTTTACCATCATTTTAATTCAAACTAGCCACAATTCAAGTGCTCAATTTTGAGTGCTCAACATATTGCTGTTAACTATCTTATTAGACACTGAAGGTCTAGTCCATTAATTTCCACATTTAGGTGTAGTAATTGCTTTTAAACTCATTCCTTAAACATATGAAGTACTATGGGACAGGCATGGTAACAGAGGTAGTAACAGGTGAACTAGATAAAATCTGGACCCTCAGTTTTTATTTCCCAAAGATGATATAGCATATTTAATATACCAATGTGCAGAGCTTTGACAACATCTACAAATTTTGTTATGTAGTAATTTTTAAAAAATCATTTACTTCAATTGGGTTATAATACCATAGCTAATTTTATCTTTAAAATAATATTATGGGAAAGTTGAAATACATGAAAGTAGAGAAAATAGCAAAAACAAAATAAACAAAAACCATTTACCCAAGACTCATCTTACCATCACTCTGACAAACAAGTTATCCATTCTAATTTTTCTTTTGCATAAGCATTTTTTAAAAGTTCCAGACATTAACATCATCTTGTGTATAAACTTACCTCTAACATTTTTACGTAACCACGATGCTATTATCACACCTAACAAAAACATAATTTTTAAATATTATCTAATGCTGTCCATACTCCCATTTCCCCAATTGTTATAAAAATGTCCTCTTTACATGTTTGTTCAACTTGTGAATCTAATTCATTACATTTGATTGGTATGCATTTCTTCAGACTCATTTAATATCTAAGAGTCCCACCTCCCCCTTTTCAATGCCATTTTATTGCTTGAGAAGCTAGGTCATTCATCTTGAAGAATTACTCACATTTTAGATTAGTTTAATTGCTTCTTCTTGTGTCATGTTCTTCTATTCCCTGAACTCCCTAAAGTGGGAGTTAGATCTTGATGCTTAGATTCAGGTTCAATATTTGAGGGCAAGATGCATATGCTTTATTGTAACTCATTGGGGGTACAAAGTGTTTTATCCTACTTTTCATGAGATTAAAATCAATTGATGGGTATCTACTGGTCCTAACCTCTACTGAGAATTGTGCCTAGATCCACTATTTCATTATGTGCTGCAAAACTCTAATAAAGAATTTTAGCTCATCAACTTCTAGTTGCCCTAAAATATAGTTCAATAGGAAATGCAGGCTAAATGACTTACCTTTCAATTATCATTTTTGGGATGAGTTAGTGCCCTAGCAACCTCCATAGGTATATTATACAGATGGGAAGAATAGATGTGATACAATAGATAAGATCAAAAGCTCTCCTATATTTACTCCTTTAAGAGTTTCTTTCTAGAACAAATTTCCTGAAGTTTAACATGGTTTTTAATGCTGAGGAAAGGCTTTTACAAATTCGTAAAATTAATATATCCTTTTCTTCAAATAAAACCTCTTATTTAGCTGAGTTCTAAGCATGAAGCAAAAGGGATTCCTATATTCAATAACTTCCCCTAGAACTTATTTTCTGATGCCCTTTAATACAAAATTCACAGTAGAAGGCTTTCCTATAATTACTTAGTTACATTATGAATTCGCTGATGGTAAGTTAGATGGGAATGTTGTCTAAATGCCTTTTTACATTCCTTACATTTGTATGGTTTTTCTCCAGAGTGAATTCTCTGATGTTGAATAAGTGATGAATGAAGTCTAAAGGCCTTTCCACACTCCTTACAGTCATAGGGTTTCTCACCAGTATGAATACTCTGATGCTGAGTAAGTTGTGACAGCAGTCTAAAAGTCTTCTCGCATTCCTTACATTTATAAGGTTTCTCACCAAAATGAATACTCTGATGTTGAGTAAGTTGTGAAAACAGTCTAAAGGTCTTCCCACATTCCTTACAATCATAGGGTTTCTCTCCAATATGAATACCTTGATGCGAAATAAGTTCTGAGTAACGCCGAAAGAACTTCTGACATTCTTTACATTCATAAGGTTTCTCACCAGTATGAATTCTCTGATGGAGAGTCAGATGATAGCCACGACTAAAGGTCTTCCCACATTCTTTACAATCATAGGGTTTCTCACCAGTGTGAATTCTCTGATGGAGAGTGAGTTGTTGCCGCACCCTAAAGGCCTTTCCACATTCCTTACATTCATAGGGTTTTTCACCAGTATGAAGTTTGTGATGTACTCGAAGTCCTGTACTACACAAAAAAGCCTGCCCGCAGTCCTTACACTCATAGCACCTCTCAGCAATATTAAGTCTCTGATGTCGTGTAAGGTGTGCGTACTGCCTAAAGGTCTTCCCACATTCCTTACATTCATAGGGTTTCTCACCAGTATGAATCCTTTGATGGAGATTAAGTTGTCCTCGCACTCTAAAGGCCTTCCCACATTCCTTACATTCATAGGGCTTCTCACCAATATGAGTTCTCTGATGTCCTCGAAGATCTGCACCACATGTAAAGATCTTTCCACATTTTTTACATTCAAGGAGTTTGTCAGAAGTGTGAATTCTCTGATGTCGACTGAGGTGGGCACATTGTCTAAAGGCTTTTCCACATTCTTTACATTCATAGGGCTTTTCACCAGTGTGAATTCTCTGATGGAAAGTAAGTTGTTGGCGCACTCTAAAGGCCTTCCCACAGTCCCCACATTCATAGGGTTTCTCTCTATTATGAATTCTCTGATACAGAGTAAGAGATGTGAGTTTTCTGTAAGTGGGCATTTTTTTCACTTGCCTGAAATATCCTTCTTGAGGATTTTCTTGTCCCTCAAACTTTTTATATTTATAATCTTTTCTGATAAAGGAGTCTTCAAGGCCACAACTTCTAATTCTTCCCATTATCTCCCACGGAGATAAATTCATTTCATAAATATCCTTTTCTTGAAATAACTTTTTAGTGTCATATCTGGATTCTAAATCTGAAAGAAAACAAGATAAATACATGCTATCTTCTTATTCTAGAAAAAGTAAACCAGCAAATAAAAACTTTGTAATAGAAAAAAAATAGAAAACTCAGTTGAAGTAAATGAGCTAAAAACCTCTAACGTAATCATGTATTTGATGCAGTTAGAGAATCTTTACTTGAATTTTTACTTATTTATTAAAAGATTTTATTTATTTATTTGAGAGACAGAGAGTGAGAGGGCGAGCGAGCGTGCACACAAGAGGCACACAGGGAGAGGGGGAAGCAGGCCCCCTACTGAGCAGAGAGCCCAATGCAGGACTCGATCCCAGGACCCTGGGATCATGACCTGAGCCACAGGCAGACGCCTAACTGACTGAGCCAACCAGGCACCCCCTTAAATTTTTAAATGATTACTCCTTTTAAATAAAATAATGTACAAACATCTTATCATGAATAACATGGCTTCTGTTTACCATATCACCTCGTCACTGTCTCCTTTGTTCCCTATACTCCTATCCCACTAGCCTCCTTTCAGCTCCTAGAATATGTCATAATCTTTCTATTTCTTAGAGCTTTTCACTGGCTATTAAACCTCCCAGAACTGCCAGCTTGCATTCTCTACATAGTTGGGGTCTTTTTATCCTTTAGGTACCATGTTAAAAATCAGACCGTGCTGATTCCATCTAATTTATATCCTTTACTTTTTATCCCAGTAGAAATTTGTTCCTTGTTTCTTAACACTCTTTCAATTTTGTTTTACATACATATTCATAAATTTTCCTACTTTTTTATACTCTTTATTATCACAAAGCAGAACAAATTATAAAACTCATCCTATGGGGAACCAGTCTGGCTCAGTTGGTGAAGCATGTGACTCTTGATCTCCGGATTGTGAGTTTGAGCCTCACTTCGGGTATAGAGATTGCTTAAAAATAAAATTTTTAAAAAATAAAACAACTCCTATAAAACTTAAAGGTTTTCATTAAAAAACAGAACATTCCCAATGTGGATATAATGAAACGGACACTCTCATATATGCCCCTGACACTTAGAAGACATGCCAAATCAAGACTGCATTTTGAATATTCTCAGCTTGGATACTACAGCATGAATGCTGAGCTGTAATCTTATGATTTGTATAAACAAAAAGTCAGCCATATTTGTTCCCAAATTTGTTTATACTAGTTCTTATCCCTGCAAGCAACTAAGACAATCATTTCTATAAAAACAAAGCTGAATACTTTAGGATCTTGTTCTACTTTAAACAAACTGAAACTAGAAATAATAGCCTTCACACTGTATGTGTGATCTAATCAAGAAAGAACTGGCTGGGGGCGCCTGGGTGGCTCAGTGGGTTGAGCCGCTGCCTTCGGCTCGGGTCGTGGTCTCGGAGTCCTGGGATCGGGCCCCGCATCGGGCTCTCTGCTCTCTAGGGGGGCCTGCTTCCTCCTCTCTCTCTGCCTGCCTCTCTGCCTGCTTGTGATCTCTCTGTCAAATAAATAAATAAAATCTTTAAAAAAAAAAAAAAAGAAAGAACTGGCTGGACCTAAAATGAAACAAAAGGCTGAATTTAGGGAGACAAACCATAAGTGACTCTTAATCTCACACAAAACAAACTGAGGGTTGATGGGGGGAGGGGGGTTGGGGGGGTGGGGTTATGGACATTGGGGAGGGTATGTGCTATGGTGAGTGCTGTGAAGTGTGTAAACCTGGCGATTCAAAGACCTGTACCCCTGGGGATAAAAATATATTATATGTTTATAAAAAAATAAAATAAATAAATAAATAAATAAAAATTTTAAAAAATTAAAAAAAAAGAGCTGAATTTAAATATCGAAAGATTGGCCTACGTTAAGAAATGTTAATGTTACAACTTTTAAGATATATGTAAAATATTTAACCATTTAAAAGTAATAAACCAGGGGCGCCTGGGTGGCTCAGTGGGTTAAAGCCTCTGCCTTTGACCCAGGTCATGATCCCAGGGAGCCTGCTTCCTCCTCTCTCTCTGCCTCTCTGCCTATTTGTGATCTCTATCTGTCAAGTAAATAAATAAAATCTTAAAAAAAAATAAAAGTAATAAACCAAACACTAGTTTGGATTCTACTGAATCAAGAACTTTAGTAAACAACGCCAATGTGCAAGCAAAATACTAGCCCCTCTTAGATCAATATAAAAGAAGAAACGTTATTTCCATTTGCAGTGTATCAGCTTTAATTAAAAAGAAAATGAGGGGCGCCTGTGTGGCTCAGTGGTTAAAGCCTCTGCCTTCGGCTCAGGTCATGATCTCAGGGTCCTAGGATCGAGTCCCGCACCCGGCTCTACGCTCAGCAGGGAGCCTGCTTCCTCCTCTCTCTCTGCCTGCCTCTCTGCCTACTTGTGATCTGTCAAATTAAAAAAAAAAAAATCTTTTAAAGAAAAAGAAAATGAGGAGCATATTACCTGGTTATAAAATTAATTTGTTTCCCAAGGTATGATGTCTTTAATCACCTTTTTTCTTTTGTTGATACAAGAGGATATGGGATATGTATTTATGACAGAGGCAGTTTTAGTCACATTAACACCAGGGCTAATGTATTAAGAAATCTGTAAATATTAAAACCCTATGACCATGGAGTTGTACTACTCAGAATCAATGCTGACCAAATACTGAGTAATCCATACTGAATTCCAATAAAATACTAAATAATCCTCATATTCTGCCAATAATCCTACTATTTCAACAAGAAATCAGAAGCAATTGAAAGAAAAACATGTACTCTTCCCTTCATATTATTCAACCAAACTGTGTCTATATCCTTTTCATATGTATGGGTTTTCTTCATAAATTGGCTCCTACTCCTTCCTATCTACTGAAGGCCATTCCTTACAAAATTATCCTCTCTCTCTACTCCATCAATTTTCTTCTCTTTGAAATCATTCCCTTCAAAATATAAATATGTTCTAATACCTCACATCTTAAAAGACATTTCCTATATCCCATGAGTGTGCTTTTATGGCAGAATTTCTCCAAGACTTACATATACTTGTAGTCACTGCTCTCTCACCTCTCATTTTATTATTTTATCTCCCAATAACTTTAAAACTTTACTACAGAGTATCTCTAACATACACAAAAGTAGGACAGTATAATGAATATCCGTGCATCTATGACCCAACCTCAACCACCACCAACCCATGCCCAATCCAGGCCTGTATGCACACCCCAATCCACTTTCCTCACATTATTTGAAGCAAATCCCATATACTAATTTTTTCTGCTTAAAGGATTTATCTCTAATCATATACTATTACCCAAACCTTAAAAAGTGAACAGTAATTCTTTAAGATTATAAGAAATCAGTGTTCACACTTCCAATCATCTCAAACATAAAATTTTAAATAATTCAAAAATAGTAAATTGATCCCCCCAAAAAGTCCATAGAGTACAACAGATCTTTTACATCTTTTAATCTAAAGGTTTTCCTGCTTTCTTTCAATTTCCCTTATAATTTATACGTTGAAGAAACTATTTTTTGACCCTTTAGGATTTCCTATTTCTTAATTTTGCTGACTATAATGCCAAGGTGCAGTAGAACATGTTCCTCTTTCTTTCTTTTTTTTTTTTTTAAGGTTTTATTATTTATTTGAGAGAGAGAGAGAGGGAGAGAGACAGCATGAGAAGAGAGAGGTCAGCCGGAGAAGCAGACTCCCTGCCAAGCAGGAAGCCCAATGTGGGACTCAATCCTAGGACTCTGGGATCATGACCTGAGCCGAAGGTAGTCGCTTAACCAACTGAGCCACCCAGGTGTCCCATTCCTCTATCTTCTTCCTATAAATTGGTAGTTGCCTTTAGAAACTCATCAGACGCAGAACCAATTTTACTGGCAAAGTTATTTCATAGGTGATACTGTATCCTTTCACTAGAAGAAATAGGTCTGATTATCCCCATTTCTGTGATGTTATCAGTATTAATGTTTAATACCCAAATCCAACTGTTCGTTATGGGTTCCAAAATGGTAATATTCTAATTCTGTCATCTTTCATTTATTAAGAAAAACATCCCCCTATCTACTATTGGTACATTTCTTATAAGAAAAGGAAAATACTTCTTTTCCTTTACATTTCCTGAATTAGTTAAATCTCTAGTAGTTTCCAATGCTGAAAAATTTGCTATTAGTATCACTGAGAATTTGTGGAATTAAGCATATTTTATGTGTTACGTTACATTGCAGTTATGTGCATAGATAGTCAAGTGGTTCCATCTTTGACCAGCTGGAGCCTCTTATAACTGGTTCCTCTTCTCTGACCACCCTATCTAAAGTTACCCCTTTCAGCCATCATAATTCTCCATTTTCTTACAATACTTACATTTCTTCATAACTTAATCACTTCATGATATTTGGTAATCCATTTGTTTATCTATGGATTGTATGACTTCCCTACTACAATGTAAACTTCATGAAAAGAGAACACTGGAGAAATATATATACAAAAGATGAACCGAAAATGAATTTGATCCAAAATATAGGTAAAATGGTTGCCATTATGAAGTTCTCCCGCACTGAAATGACAGGGAAATATGAGAGTGAAGCAACAAGTAAGTGGAAGTATAGATGAAATTTCCTTGCGGGCTCATGCGGAGATCTAAGTTTTCTTCCCAAGTTTCAGGTCTTCTCTTCATTATCAACATGTATGGGGTGTGTTTCCTTGCCAACCAGCAGGCTGTGCCAGGCCAGAACCACGAATCTCAGCCTGATTAGCATTTACTCACCTAGGCTCCTTCTTCTTCTCTCATCCCTCACAACCATCCAGGGTTCTTTCCCTTGCTCTAGTAGGGTGATCACATCTGGCTTAGAAATGGAACATCCTGCTTGAAAAAACATAATGGTACATAATAAAGAGAGAATTAACTTGATCGAGCCTTCAGAACAAAAAGAGTAATGGGACTGAAAAACATTCGTATTGGTGTTACTTCAGGACCACAAAGAACAATAAGAACAGAGAAGTAGGAACACTGTCTTACTTTAATTTAAACTCATACAGAGTCTCTTTCTTGAGAGGAAGTAATGATTTTTTGGGTTTTTTTGAGGAAGTAATGATTTGAGAACACTGGCTTCAAATCCTGCCTCTCCCACCTGGGTCACTATGGCCTCAGTTTTCTCAGTTGTTAAAAGGAGGTATTATGTCTGCCCATTGGACTGTTGTAAGGTTTGATTTTATAAATGTAAAGTGTCTGGATGAGTGCTTAGTACATAGTAAAGACTGTACATACTTATCAGATACTTTTATTAGGTACTTTGCTAAGAGGAAAATAATTAGTTTCTTACCAGGATATACATCTAATATTAAATGCAAAAATTCATATATTTTAAACTTTTAATCACAAATCAATTAAAAGGTAGTTATGTCTGCTGTGGTAAACTGAATGTGTCAACTTGAGTTTTAGCAAACTGTTGACTGAACCCAGCAACATGTATGTTGTACAAGCTTTTTAAATAGATATGGGGAGCCAGAACCTCTAGTCTTCCCACTCATATTACAAGTGAATAACAGATAACAGGTCATCTAGAGCAATAAGAAACCTGATTTCTTTGACAATGGTTTTGCTGTAAAGGGTCTGAGAATTTATATCTAGCTGTCACTAAAGAGGAGTAATTACAGAAAAGGCACAGAAAGACATAAAGGTCACTGGATTATGGGGGAAGCTAAAGTGCTATTTAATTGCTTAACAACAACAGTGCCCATTCCTAACTACAAAGAAGATATTCAGCAAGTTTCTAGGAAGAAATTCAGCCCTGTGAATTTCTAAATTATATGACACAGATAAGCTTACCCACTGACACCAAGTTGCTATAGTTCTCTAGTATCACATCTCTGTACAAATTCCTCTGATATGAGTTCAGGCATTCCCACTCTTCCTGAGAAAAGTCTACGGCCACATCTCTGAACATCACCAAATGCTGAAATGACAAACCCATGTATTATTTCTAAAATTATTTATTTCTCTAAAGAGCCAATGTTTAAGCTTTGCATGCCACATATGGTCTGTTTCATATCCTTCCCCTTTCCCTTCTTTTTTAAAACAATTCTTTGAAAACATAATGAGCTCAAAGGCTGGAAAAAACAGGCCAAGGAACGAATCTGGCTCACAAGCTGTAGTTTGCCAATCACCGCTAAAGAAAATACTTCCTATATACCATCGGGTACCTAATTTTACTTATTTCTAGGTATGTTCACATAGTTGATCAGAATTTCACAAGTAACTGAAAGAGTGTTCATAAGAACCTCTTATGAACTTAGGTTCATAAGAACCTAAGTGGGCCTAAAAAAATTCTCAATAAATGTATGCTTTATTCTAACCTCTCTTCCTTAAAGGATTAGGGGGAAAAAAACAGATGGATTTCCTTTCCTCCAAATGAACCATTAAATCTCTATTTTTAAAAAGTAGAGTTTGTGTGAAATTAAAGAATTTCTTCCAGACCTGACTTCATCACTATATCATTAGCATTTGTCTTTGTTATAACAAATACTTTACTGAATGTTTTTAATTTACTAAAAAATAGTCCATTTGTGTTAGATTTAGGAATGATTATATTTAGGTATTTCTATACTTTTAAAGATATTAAGTTATATTTAGAATTTAGGTTACACAAAATCTCTGAAGCTACAATGTCCAATATGCTGGCTTATACATGTTATTAACGAACACTTAAATTGTGGCTAGTCCAAATTTAGATATGCTGTAATTCAAAAATACATACCAGATATAAAAAACTTTAGAAAGAAAAACAAACATAAAACATCTCAATAATTTCCATATTGACTACACTTTTGAAATGGTAACATTTTGGGCGCCTGGGTGGCTCAGTGGGTTAAGCCTCTGCCTTCGGCTCAGGTCATGATCCCAGGGTCCTGGGATCGAGTCCCACATCAGGCTCTCTGCTCCGCAAGGAGCCTGCCTCCCCCTCTCTCGTTGCCTGCCTCTCTGCCTCTCTGCCTACTTGTGATCTCTGTCTGTCAAATAAATAAATAAAATCTTAAAAAAAAAAAAAAAAAAAGAAATGGTAACATTTTGGTGCCATATATATATAAATTTTGGCTATATTGAGTTAAATAAAACATTAAAATTAACTACATGTGTTATTTTTAAATTTTTTAATGTAACTTCAAAAAAGTTCAAGATTATATAAGTGCCTCGCATATTATTCTATACTTTTTATGAGACTGACATGCTGCTTACTGCCCTTAAGAAAGTACTAATTCTACATTTTAAAAATGCCCCACTAGTGGGACGCCTGGGTGGCTCAGTTGGTTAAGCAGCTGCCTTCGGCTCAGGTCATGATCCCAGCGTCCTGGGATCGAGTCCCACATTGGGCTCCTTGTTCTGTGGGGAGCCTACTTCTCCCTCTGCCTCTGCCTGCCACTCTGTCTGCCTGTGCTCGCTCTCTCTCTCTCTAAAAAGAAAAAAGAAAAAAAAAAAAAGGAAAAAAAAAATGCCCCACTAGAAAATTTTAAATTATACAGGTCACTCACATTATAATTCTTTTGGACAATGCTACTCTAGTGTTCTCCACTACTAAGAGTCTAAGATCAAACAATTCCCTCTAGGGACTTCACTTCTATCTTATCTCTGCTCTAGACAAAAACTGAACACAGTCAATACACTGAATAATTTGGTCAACAGATACATGGACATGGGTGGAAAAGAGTGAGGCACATGGGAGGGGCCTGGCTGCCTGGTTCCATCCCTTACTAGAATGGGAAAGACTGGGGAGAAGCTATTAGATAGGGCTGTTAGGAACTTTCTGGATAGCTAATGAGAATTTTCACATAACCTGAAAAACATTACAGTGCTTCAAACAGAAACACCAACTTACATGAGCCATGATTTTAGATTCCAAAAATTGGTCAGTTTTCCTCAAAGGTCATTTACTGGAGAAGCAGAGTCCACAGAAGCTGGAGCTGGGGGAAGAAGGTGAAGCCATAAGAATACAATTGCCTCAGAACTCTCCAATTTTAAAATGTCACACTATTTCTCCCTTCCTACACTCCTCCCTGCTCCAACACACAGACAATGAGAGATAAGAGGTAGTTTAGAAAAATATATGTCCTCCTCAAAACCACAGGAAAATCTGTTGCACAAGGACAGAGAGCAGAGACTTGCCCTGGAAGATCATGTCCAGACACTTTAGAGAGGGTTTCCAGTTAGTCCCCTACCCTAGGGAGGCTGATCTGGACCTGAGCACAGGCTGCCCAGGCCTGTCCTAAGCAGATCCATCTCCCTCCATTCCCACCTTCCCAGCTGAGAAGCGGTTGTTACATCGTCTGAACCAAACATCTTGTGGTTGGCTTCCCTAAATGTTGAAACAGAAAATACTCTGGGGGCGCCTGGGTGGCTCAGTGGGTTGAGCCTCTGCCTTTGGGTTGAGCCTCTGCCTTCGGCTTGGGTCATGATCTCAGGGTCCTGGGATCAAGTCCGACATCAGACTCTCTGCTCAGCGGGGAGCCTGCTTCCCAACCCCCTCTGCCTGCCTCTCTGCCTACTTGTGATCTCTGTCTGTCAAATAAATAAATAAAATCTTTAGAAAAAAATACTCTGGACAAGAGTTTCCCAAACTTTGCTAGACACTGGAACTGCCAGCAGATCTTTAAAATATACTGATGCCTGGCTCCTATCTCCCAAACATTTTTATTTCATTAGTATAGAGTGTGACCTGGGAATCAGGATTTTTAAATCCCCCTCAGATTTTATGAAATTTCTGACAGGTCATCATAATGGGCAACAAAGTTTGGTAATTAAACTTTGTGTACATCAGAATCACCTGGAGGGCTTATTAAAACACAGTTTGCAGGGCCTCACTCTTAGAGTTTGGCATTTAGTAGAGGTATAGGGTTGGGCTTGAGAATTTGCAGTTCTAAAAAGTTCCCAAGTGATACTGATGTTGCTGGTCCTATTGACACAATTTGAGGACTACTTACATATAGCCCACGCTAGCAGAATTTATCATGACAAAACTATACTTGCACACTGGAATCCCTCCCTGGGGGAAGGGTGAACTACCATTCCCAGACCCTCAGAGCCCACCAGTCACCATTTGCCTGTTCAGAATCACCAATACTGTCTGTAGAATCTCATTTATCAACCCATCTCTCCTCTTGGTACCCAGGCTGGGAAAAGTGAATTTGTGAAACCTAAGCATGACTAATTCTCTAGAAAGTAGAAATAACTTATTAGTTAAAACTCACTAGTGGAGTACCTGGGTGGTTCAATGGGTTAAGCCCCTGACTTCGGGACAGGTCATGATCCCAGGGTCCTGGGATCGAGCCCCACATCGGGCTCTCTGCTCAGGGGGGAGCCTGCTTCCTCCTCTCTCTCTGCCTCTCTGCCTACTTGTGATCTCTATCTGTTAAGTAAATAAATAAAATCTTTGAAAAAAAAAAAAAAAGAAAGAAAAGAATTTGGGGGGCGCCTGGGTGGCTCAGTGGGTTAAAGCCTCTGACTTCAGCTCAGGTCATGATCCCAGGGGCCTGGGATCAAGCCCCATATCTGGCTCTGCTCAGTGGGGTATCTGCTTTCCCCTCTCTCTCTGCCTGCCTCTCTGCCTACTTGTGATCGCTCTCTGTCAAATAAATAAATAAAATCTTAAAAAAAAAAAAAAC